CAGCATGTTCAAGAGTACCTATACAGTGATTTTGAGCAAAATCTATTTTTTGGCTTATTTTCTTCATTTTACTATAGGGTCTAGTCCGTGGACCACCTGAAAACTACCCCATGGCCCACCTGAGAACCACCCCATGGCCCACCAGTTGTAGACCACTGCGGGCCTATACTTATTGTACATGGGCCCCATACTCCGGGCCCTATACTTATTGTACAGGGGCCCCATACTCCGGGCCCTATACTTATTGTACAGGGGCCCTTAAGGTTGTGAATATATTATATAATGAAATACTCGGTGTACGCTTGAAACAAGGTTATACGCTGGCACGCTGCGCGACAAATTATAATTTGTCGCGCAGTTTCAGTGGGCCCCCAGATACCGGTGGGTCCTAGGCCAATGGCCTACTTGGCCTATTGGTAAATCCGGCCCTGCAGGTAAGGTCAAGTTTGGTTACAGTGGATGAAATGTGTTATTATTCTTTGGTGAGATTATTTTGTTCTCTATTTCTCTTTCTCTCTCACTCTCTTTATCTCTCTCTCTCTCTCTCTCTCTAACAGTCTCTCTCTCTCTCGCTCTTTATCTGTCCCTCACTTTCTTTCTCTCCCCGAATCTCTGTCTCTCTCTCTCACTCTTTATCTATCTATCTCACTCTATCTCTCTCATTTTATCTCTCTACAGTAGTTCTTTTTCTCTCACCAACCAATTCCACCACTAATTTTTCACTCCCCTAATTCCAACTATTTCTCAACACTTACTCTTAACAGATGAACAGGTTTCCCACTTGCTCACTACACCGTGTCGGTCCAGCTGTGTGGCGCACCAGGGTCGACCATGGTCCACCTCGGTACACTTGTGGTACAGTTGATCTCGGTACATGAAGGGTAGGGTACATACATTGCCCTCCGTAGTTCGAGTGGGTAGGCATGGATCTGTAGGGAGGGAAGTAAGGGAGTATTCAGGGAGTGTAGGGAGTGAGGGAGTATAGAGGGAGTGTAGGGATGAGGGAGTATAGAGGGAGTGTAGGGATGAGGGAGTGTAGGGATGAGGGAGTATAGAGGGAGTGTAGAGAGTGAGGGAGGGTAGTGAGGGAGTAAGGGAGGGAGGGTAAGATGTGTGGGATTAAGGGTGGGAGGGTGGAGGGTAGGAGGTGAGGGAGGTTAGGGAAGGAGGGAGTGTTGAAGGAATGTGAGAGGTGTGAGGGAGCATCGAGAGAATGTAAGAAGGTGGGGGAGGAGTAAGGAGTAAGGAAAGGATGGAAGTGAGGGACTATGGAAGGAGGAAAAGGGTAGAGGGGTGAGGGAAGGTGGGGAGTAAAGAGAGAGAGAGAGAGAGAGAGAGAGAGAGAGAGAGAGAGAGAGAGAGAGAGTACTACACTATCACACTTACCAACATTTAAGAACATCTGTGGAGGCATCTGGGAGGTGCAGGGGTGGGAGGGCGGCGTCTCATCTGCAAAAGGCCAGAGGTCACATTTAAAACACCAGAGGTCACACTTAACACTCCAGAGGTCATTGTCTTTATCTATCTATCTATCTATCTATCTATCTATCTATCACCAAATAATAGTTACTCAAGACATAACACACAGACCGACATACAAACACTCACCCATTTTCTCCGGTTTGTAGGCTGGGACGAAGGGATGGGCGTCCACCTGCTTATGAGCCGGGATAGTGGGATGGGAGGGATAGCTGGGATGCCCTGGGATTGTGGGATGGGAGTGTATGGGTGGATGGGATGGGATAGTCATATGTCCGTGGATATATGGGTGTCCCGGGATGGTGGGATGATCTGGGATGGGTGGATGGAGTGGGATAGTTGGGTGAGATGGGATTTCAGGATGGGGATGAATTTCAGGATGTGATGGGATAGAATGGTGGCCTAGGATACTTGTATGGGATGTTATGGATAGATGACCTGGGATGCCCTGATGACCTAAGATGGCGGGATGGCCTTGGATAGAACCATGTGATGGGATAGAAGGATGGGCTGGGATACTCTCGTGGGATGGAACTGCGCCGTGTCCAGGACTATTAGAATGGGACGGAATGGATGGATGGGATGGTATAGATGAATGAGCTGGGATATTCGGGTGGGATAGTATTGCAGGATGGCCTGGGATAGAAGGATGACCGTCTATTGTCTCTTGTCTGGGAATAGTCGGGTGAGCTGGGATAGATTCGTGACCTGGGATATTCTGATGGACTGGGATGGATAGATGGCTTGGGATAGATTCATGGGACGAATAAGATGGGTGTCCTGGGATAGTAGGATGCCCTGGGATATACGGATGAGCTGGGATAGATGAATGACCACTGATGCTGGGATGTCGAGGGACTTTCATATGACCTGGGAAAGATGGATGGGCTGGGATAGGTACTTGAGCTGGGATAGTGATGTGTCCAGGCACTGATGAATGCTGTGGGATAGTTTCGTGTCCTGGGATAGTCTTATGGCCAGGGATAGAGGGATGGGATGGTAGAGATGGATGACCTCTAATAGTGGGGTGACGTGGCACAGACCCATGTCTTGGGATAGATGGATGACCTTCGATCCCCCTCTGTTCTGGGATAGTTGGATGACTTTGTACTGCCTCATGACCCCTGGCAGTTGGATGACCTGGGATAGATGGATGAGAGGGCACTGACGCATGACCTAGGATGGATGAGTGACCGAGGATAGATGGATGATATGGGATAGATTCGTGGGATGGTACTGACTGATGTGAGGGTATTGATGGATGGTCTTGGATCGTGGGATGGGATGACAACCTTGGATGACCAGGTATCGATGGATGACCACTGACAGACGGATGACCCGAAACTGAAGGATGGGCACTCAAGGATGGATGAGTAGGGATGGATGGATGACCTACGACTGACGGATGACCCGATATAGATGGGTGAGGAGAGGCAGAAGGGTGACCCAAAACGGATGGATGACCAAGTACTGTCGGCTCTTTTGGGATAGATGGATGTTGTTGGATAGATGGATGCCCTGGAATAGTCTCATGGTCTAGGAAAGTTGGATGACCTTGAAGAGATGGATGATCAGCCACTGTAGGTCGTTCAGGGATACTGGGATGGCCGGGGATGGAAGGGTGACCTGGGATTCTTAACATCCTGGAGGATATAACTGGATAGGACTCCGGCCAGATCCTTGTTTGTTCAGGAGAGAAGGGCAGTGGCGGTGACATGGATTCCTTGAGGATGTAGAGAGAACGAGGTGGTTGAGGGACTAGTGAAGGAGGAGGAGGTGGTATGGCTCCTAAGGCTAGTTGAGAAGGAGGAGGAGGAGGAGGGTAGAGGACAGCAGGAAGAGACGCAGGAGGAGGCTCTGCAGGGGAAGGAGCGTTAGGACGTAAGAGGTGGGTAGTAGCATCACACATGAAGATGGTCGGGTCACACCTTGATGTTATTGGGTCTCCTGTGATATGCCTCTTGTATTGTGAGGTCTGCTGCTGCTGCTCCTGCGCCTTCTGAAGATCGTCTGGTGGAATGTCTCTCTTGTATTTCGGGGAATTCTCTGACAGGGAGGATCTTGTCCGTTTTATTGGGTATCCTATCACAGACGTCAAGGATCTCTTCTTCCGCTCTGCTGTCGGTAGATCAAGTCCTACTGGTGATCTGAGATGGTCTTCTGTGTACCCTAAGAACCTCGACTGAGTTTTTGATGTAGAGTTTTTCATTAATTCTCCCGGATGATCTCTTCGGCGGGGTCCTGAGGGGGTCTTCAGTCCTAACTTCGAATGTGAAATCCCCACCAGGGACCTTAGATAGTCTGTTAGGTAAATAAAGTACATCGGCTGTGAATGTAAATCTCTGTTGTTCCTCACAGTGCTCTTGCTCGGCTGTAACTCTGTCAGGAAGGTCCTCATCGGCTCCCCTAAAATCCCGCTCTTGTACCTCACAGATCTCTTCTTCCTCGACTGTATCTCTGGTGAAGAAATGTTGATCGATACGTCAGGATGATCCGTCTGGGTCCTCATGAAACTTTTCCTCGACGGGGAGGTCCTCACGGCGGGATACTCGAGGATGTAACGTGGCAGCCTCACTAACCTTGACCTGGGCTTCCATCTCTCGGAGGATGATGGAAATAAGGAGGAGGAAGAGGAAGTATCTGATGGGGAAACGTGCTCCTGAAGGGGGGGAGACTTGTTGTCTGAAGGGATGAAGGAATCGTTTCGGACATCCAGAGACACCCGTACAACCTCCTCTAGTGGCAGGAAGGAGACGTCCTCATCGTCCATAGGTGTCCAGGAGGCCCTCGAGTTATGCCCTTCGTCAAGTCTTCCTCCCACTGTAGGCTCAAGGTCTCCTGTAAGAGCAGTCATAGTGGTGATTAAACTGTTGTATACCTGGTGACTGTGTGAGGTGTCCTGTAGTGGTGTGTCGTCATCAGCCTGTGTCCATCGAGTGTGCTGTTGACATTAAAGGCTTGATGAGAGTAAACAAAAGTGTCAAGGCGAGCAAGAGAGACAATGAACTGTAAATACATCGCTGTTATTACGCAATGTTGACAATGTGTGAGACCAATCCTTACTACATCACACAATACACAATTAATTAATGTTTATCTATCGTTTGTCTCTGTTCAGTTGGTGAAAATAACAACAAAATAATATTATGATATACGTGAAATACTTTGGGCAGTTTTCTTGGTGACGATAACTCATTAAAGATGATTTATGTTATGGTAAAAATAGTGTTAATTGTTAGTTAATAAAGGAGATGTAGCAGAAATTATTAATGATTTTAGATACTATTTTTATCATTAACTTATCAATTATTATCTAAATTAATTACTGTACATGGCAGAACATTTTTTTTAAATAGATAAATGTGTTTCTATGATAATGTATGTGTGGGATTACTGTGTGTGCTCCTATAAACGTTTCTATCAGACCTTGAGTATGAAACAGATATTCCGACAACTCTCTGTTTGTAAACAATGTCTTCGCGAGTTTAATCCACATTCTTGAAAGTTTGTTAATATTTGTTTGCCATTAGAATAAATATATTGACCAAAATGCGATATCTCCCTCTCTCTGTCTCTCTCTCCTACTCTGTCCGACTGAATGTCTGCCTGTCTCTGCATCATTATATATAAACATAAACTAATGAAATAGAGTCATATAATACATTTTTTTATCTGAATATATTTATAAATTAGTTATCTATTGTGAGTTAAAAATCTGCACCCAAATATAGCTTCACCTTACAAAAACTAAAATATAAGATAAGTAACAATACCCGAAGAAAAATTTTTCAATTACCTCAATCAAAATAATGAAACAAAAATTGAACGAAATCGAAACATCTTAGGCAAAAAAATAATTACCAAAAAGGAACTTGCAATTTATACTTTATTTCTATTTAGTTCTTAATCAATAACATAAACAAAAACTCCAAGGTTCAGTAAAACCACTACCAGTAAATATATATGTATTTTTCATTACAATTTGGATTACATGTCAGCGAGTCGTTTTGTTGTAGTTTGAGGTCCTATCCGTTTTCTGTGACTGTGTAACTAATACGTTTTCTTTGGAGATACATTTAAGGTGTTGGATCCTCTTTATTTGCAGTCTAATCTTGTTTTCTTTGGTATTATTAATCTCTTGTTAGTCTTTCAATTTTATCCTTCCTATTTCATGACCAGATTTCGTTTTCTTCTGATTATAAAGTAATTTCTTCCCAATTTCTTTGACTTTCTTTCTTTTCTTCTCATGTCGCATCTACTTTCAAAGGGAAATTCTCTCTTCTATATCAATTCACTGAAGTAAGAGAGTTTCCCGTGACCTTGATTACGTTTTCTGTGGAGGGATGTTGAATCTAGTTACTTAATTGACTTACAATTTGTATATTACTTGTATAATAGTATAAAATATGAAATTCGTTTTTAATACAAATACTTCAGAATAAATGTATGTAGGTGATTTTGTACTTTGGTGTTAGTTTTACTGTACTGGGTAGGGAAGGGTAGGGTAGGGTAGGGTAGGGTAGGGTAGGGAAGGGTAGGGTAGGGTAGGGTAGGGTAGGTTGGGCATTGAAATAAAAGTGCTGGGATGGATTATTGTGAGAGAGAGAGATGTTTTTCAGGAGTAACTTTGAGAGGACGATATTACAGTTAAACATGTCTTTAATAAACTACATGAGTTCTCTCTTTTCCTTCCTCTTTATTTCTCCCCTTCGTCTCTCTCTCTTCCTCCTACTCTATCTCTAGTTACTTACGAGATGGTAGTTCTCCTCCCAGCCACAACTGATGGAGGGCACTGCAGTCTGTAAATGAGAGAATACAGGGGGGGTAAGAGTTGACTTTACACCTTGGCTTACCACCGATTAATTGCCTGATTTATATGTTGCGGGAGGAGGGGGAGGGATGGACCGAGAGAAGTTGCTGGTTTTTAGGCCGCCAGTCTGTGTGGCGTATAAGTGGCATCAACTGTACAAAAACACATAACACTTATACTCCTGTCAAGTATTCACGCACCCACGCCCCATAACCCTCCCCCACACACCCACACGTACCCCACAGCCCCCCCACACAAGCAACCTCTCCACACATACACACTCTTCCCCACACCTAAACACTCCACACCCTTTCCCACCCACAAACACCCCTCCCCACCCCCCTCCACACACCCTACACACATACACAGACGACCTCCTCACCTTCAACGGGGACACAAACGCCCCAGGAGGTTGGTTTGAGGTTGAAGTCAATGGTTGTGGCGCACCATCTAACACTACTGGAACCCACACACGAGAACTGTCTCAAACCCTGGTGGAGGAACGGGAACACACACACTCTGCCCTCTGCTGTTACGACCATCTTCTTGTATCCTGTAGGAGAGAGAGGTTAAGAGGTCATGATGATGGAATGTGAGAGGTCAAGAGTTCATGATGATGGAAGGGGAGAGGTCAAGAGGTCATTAGTGGTGGAAGAGAAGACGTGTAGGGGACTTACGTATATAGTGGGGACTTACCCACGTCATGCCAGCACACGTCGACATCAAGAGGTCTGTAATCGTCTGTGAGTTGGGTGGCGCACCAAGGCAGACTCCTGTTGTCCTTCACACACGTCGTCTGCCAGAAGCCGTTGTACCTGAAGGGGAAGATACACGTCCTCCCTGATACTGTCGTCACCACGTCCTCCAGTCCTGTGAGAGGGAGGGCAAATATCATCGTCACTGCGTCCTCCCTTCCCTTCCTTTCCCTCCCCTTCCCTTCCCCATTCCTTCCCTCAATATCTCTTTTCCTCCTGCCTTTCTTTCCCCCCTCCCTCCCTCCCTTCCCCCCTCCTTCCCTTCCTTCTCCCTTCCCCCAGTACCTCACTCCCCTTTCCTCCCCTCTCCTTCCTTCCCTCTCTTCCTTCCTTCCTCCTCATGCCCCCATCCTCTCCCCCTCTCCTTCCTATCCTCACCACCATCCCCTCATCCTCCTCCCACACCATCCCTCCACCCTCTCTATCCTCCCGACCCCACCTTCCCTACCCTACCCCCTACCCCATCCCCCAAGGACTTACCTAACCCCTTATCACACGAGTCCCACATGGTAGGCACCCCCTCTTGGTCAAGGATCAAGGGGCACTTTGGCACAGGGTCATCATCCCCCAGCTTGACACAGGAGTCGTACTGTTGTCCTTGTAAGTAGAAGGGGAACTGACACGGCCGCCGAGACGACCCCATCACCACCTTGTTCTTACCTGAGGAAATGTGTCAAGGTGAGGTGTTGAGGAGGAAAGATAGAGAGGAAAAAAGAAGAGAAAAGAGATAAGAATGAGAGAGAAATACTGATAGACACAAATAGAGAAAATATATAGAAATAGACAAAGATAAAGACAAAAACTCGGGGAAATCTATGGTATTTATCTATCTATCTATCTATCTTTTCATCTGTCTATCTACCCAGTAATTTGTCTCATTATAATCTACAGACGATCTTGAAATTTATCAATCAATCAAGCAATTTACTTTACTTTGAACCTATACATCTGTCTGTCTGTCTGTCTGTCTGTCTGTCTGTCTGTCTGTCTGTCTGTCTGTCTGTCTGTCTGTCTGTCTGTCTGTCTGCTTAATCTAACCACCCAGGCAAACAAATCCCTCTTATAGCAGTGTTACTAATGACGTAAACAAGACCCTTCCCCCTACGACAGTGTTACCAATGACGGCGACGCAGGTATCCGCATCAGTAGGAAGTCCTTGACGGTCAACAGCAGTAGGACACCATGGAAGTCCTTCCTTGTCCTTGAGGCTACACCCGAAGTGCCAACGACCCTTGTACTGGTAGGGGAAGTGGCAACGCTGTCCCTTAACTGTCACGGTGTATCCTGTAGGAGTAGATGAAGGTGGTTAGTGGTGATGGTGGTAGTGGTGATGGTGGTAGTGGTGATGGTAGTGGGGATGGTGGTAGTGGGGATGGTGGTAGGGGATGGTAGTGGGGATGGTAGTGTGGTGATGGTGGTAGTGGTGATGGTGGTAGTGGGGATGGTGGTAGTGGGGATGGTGGTAGTGGGTGTGGTGATGGTGGTAGTGGTGATGGTGGTGTGATGGTGGTAGTGGGGATGGTGGTAGGGTGATGGTGTGGTGATGGTGGTAGTGGGGATGGTGGTAGTGGTGATGGTGGTAGTGGGATGGTGGTAGTGGGGATGGTAGGGGATGGTGGTAGTGGTGATGGTGGTGATGGTGGGTAGTGGTGTGGTGATGGTGGTAGTGGTGATGGTGGTAGTGGTGATGGTGGTAGTGGGGATGGTGGTGGTGATGATGGGTTGGATTTTTTTCTCTCTCTCTTTTTGTCTCTTTTTTCTCTCCATTTCTCTCTCACCCTCCCTCTGTCAATTCGTCTTTTCTCTGCCTCTCCTACCCCTACCCACATCTCCCTCTCTTCTCACCCTTCTCCACTCCCTCTCCTACCTTTCTCCCACTCTCTCCCCATCATCTCCCACCTCTCATACTCACGTCTCTCACACTGGAGGCCGGAGAAGCCCTCAGGACACGTACAAAAATTTGGAGAGACACATCGGCCACGGTTGAGACACGGTCGGGCACACTCAGGCTCACATGACACGGACAGGTGGCCTAAGAAATCCCCCCCAAACACCCACTTCCGTTCCAAACAGCTGACGGAGGCCCCGAACTCTCCTGAAGAAAGCTTGAAGCCTTGTTTGCAGCGGATGATACCCGATGCTGATTCCTGGCTGTGTTATAATGGGTTCAAGATTGGTTAGGTCAGAATTGTGTGGATTTGCGTTGTCATAGCAATATTTACTGAATTTTGTTTGTCAAGTACACTACAGGGTGAATGATCGAAAAGTCCCTGTGCATCTACAACGTTTAGGAATATAGTAACTCCTTATTATACTTACATTGTTATATACATTGTTATACTTTAATTATTACTTATATTGTTCTTTCACCGAAAGTATTGAAAATATTATCCACTTTCAAAAGTTATAATGACCATTTCTAATATTTAATGTCAAAAGAATAAGGTAAATAAGTATATCGTTAGTTATTACAGGTGCACAGGGACTTTTTGATCACCGACACAACATAACAAGAGCTGGGATACTCACTTAAAACTGAGGTAGGCATTAGGCACATACAAAGGCATATTCCCACATGCCCTATACTGGCACCAGGACCCTCCGTATCCTCTCTGGCACTGACATCTGTTTGGTCCGTAGCACTGACCCCCGTGAAGGCACCGAGGTTGGCACTGGTGGTAACAAGCGACTCTGGTAGATGGGAAGGCGATAGATCCTATAGTGACCCAGTGACCATTTAGGCACCGCATCAGGAACACTTTGGCACCGCTGGACGACGCGTGACCAATACGACAGGTGACCCGTGATAGGTGGTCGCTGGGGGGGAGAGGGGTAGTTAGGGGGGTTGTTAGACGAAGGGGAGGGATAGTTGGAGGGAGCTTGTATGATGAGGGGAGGGGGGGGAGGTTACAAGGGGAGGGGAAAGGAGTAATGAAGGGAGGTGGTGATGGGTGAGGAGATGAGGTGAGAAGACTGAGGAAACTGAGAAATAGTGTAGGACTGTAGGGGGTTGACAAGGCAAGAACTGAGAGGTGAGGGAAGGCAATGAGCGGCGAGGTATTGGTGACAAGAGATGGAGGAAAAAATAAGTAACTGACAATATAGCCACCTTTGCTGACACCATGAGCTGACACAGTGGTACAGTGCCTTTACCTCCTGACATTTTAACGTCAAATAAACAACAACAACAGAGAAAATTCCTACTCACGCGATCTTAACAGCTGTGGCATTAACGACCATCGGAGTACCATGGCATCCTGTCCTCGTATCCGGGCTGCAGTTTGGCGAATAGATGCCATTTGGACATCGGCACTGCTCAGGCCTCTCACAGACACCTCCACCTTGGCACTCAGGGTCACAGAAAGGCTGGCACGCCTCTCTGTCCCATGACCAGCCACGGGGGGTCACCCAGGTATTGTCATGACAGCCTATGGTAATACTGGCGGGGGCGCCGACGAAAGAACCACCAGTATGGAGTTTATACCCCCTGTGGCAGGTAATTGTGAGCGAGTTGTTCCTGTGGGAGGTAGATGGTGAGGTGTTTGTCTGTTTTTGTCTGTTTGTATGTATGTCTGTCTATATATCAATCAATCTACGCCTCTCTCTTTCTGTTTATCTGTCTGCATATTTGTCTGTCGTGCACTAACAAGCACTCACCTGCTAACAACATAAGTATTCCTCCAATCAACTTCCGTCTTACAGTTTCCCAGCACCAACAGTCGACACAGGGCACCACTAAACCCTTGACGGCAGCTACAGGTGTTGGGTGCCAAGCAAGTGCCACCGTTGATACAGAGGACCTGGCACTTGAGGACACAGGGCACCAGGTTTGATTTCCTCCAGGACCCGTTGACGCAGATGATCAGCAAATCGGACTGTAGTGGGTTGGCGAACGCGTAACCAGTTTGACATACCCCTACGTAGCCTGATTTCCTGTAGGGGACACGGAGAGAAGGGGTATGGGTGAGAAGGGTAGGTATGGTGGTTGGGAAAATGGGTCAGAGTGGTTTTTAGGTAAGTTGGAAATGTATGTGTAAACAGATACGCATTTGGACATGGATGAGAAGAAACGCGTTGATGAATCTATGTAAACGTGACTACTGACCTGCACATAACACTGTTCTTCCCTCGTAACCTTCCCCCCTTCCTCCCTCATAACCTTCTCCCCCTTCCTCCCTCACAACCTTCTCCCCCTTCCTCCCTCACAACCTTCTCCCCCTTCCTCCCTCACAACCCCCCCCTCATTACTCACGTCCAGACGAGCCTCATGTGGGGTGGGGGGTCAGGGGGTGCGACACACAGAGACCTCTTCTCACACCTGCTTCCGTACGTGTCATCAGGGCAGTTACAGGTGTTCGGGGCTGTACAGGTGCCGCCGTTTAAACACCCACCTGGGCATCTGGGGTGACAGGTGGGCGTGGAGTTGAATTCCAGGAAGCGCCATTGGTTCTTATGACATAACTGTGGGTGAGAGAGAGATTGAGAGAATGAGAGACAGGTTGAGGGACTGAGAGAGGTAGAGAGAATGATAGAGGCAAAAATAATGAGAGAGGTAAGAGAGAATTAGAGAGGGAGATTGAGAGATAGAAAGAGAGTGGTAGAGAGACTGGGAAAGAGAGATAAAGAGAATCAGAAAGGTAGTTAGAGAGAACGTATGTAAGAGAGTTCATAAAAATGTTGCATTAGGATTTTTTATTAGAGCTTTTAGGATTTCTAGATCTCAGTAATTGGGATAATGAATTTTTGCACAATCACACAAGGTTACACTACTTAGTGTTAAGATAAGGCGTTGAGTTTGGCTAAAGTAAATCATTACAATATATCAGCAAGTTTATGGTTAAGTAACACTCCTATAAAAAAAACTACTATAATGTTGTTGTTTTTTGATACACTGCTGAAGCCGTCCACAGATTATGGTGTTATGATTCATGTGGTATTTGATAATTTCCCACTAAACAGCGAAAACTGGGAAAACAATACATCCCCCCCACCAAAGGACGAGCCACTTACTACTTGAGTCGAGGTTTTGTCGTTGTCGAGGACGTAGTCAGATTGGCACTTGATCACCCTGACCTCTGAGTTGCTGGAGGACGAGAGAGACGTGATTAGGTTGAGAGAGAGAGAGAGAGAGAGAGAGAGAGAGAGAGAGAGAGAGAGAGAGAGAGAGAGGGATGAACGAGGGGGTTAGGGGGACACGAGGAATATACATCCACCTAAATTACAATATAATTAGACAGAGAAACCGATAGACAGAAACTAAACAGACACACATTTTTTCTCACTGTCAATCCCTCAACACCTGTCATTAATACAGTCACCAGACAAAACAGGGAACAGACAGAAGGATAAGGACACACCTGTAGCTCTCACCTGTAAACAATGTCAGCGTAGTGGACCATAGGAGGAGGACCCTCACACACGGACACGGCCAACTCCTTCTCCCCTACGAAACCTTCCCTACTCTCCAACTTCCCCGAGGCCAAGCGCTGTCCTTCGTTCTTGCTACAGGCGGAGGCACTGCTGATGGGTCCTAACGAAGAGTCAAGATTCCAGTGACCTTCGATGCAGTGAATCCAATAAGACCCTCGAATCTTATTATCGAAGTTGGTGATGCAATTGACGAGGACACTGTCGCCACTGCATAGAGAGATTATGGAGAGGTTAGGAGGGGTGGATGGGTGTGGGTGTGGGTGTGGGTGTGGGTGTGGGTGTGTGTGTGGGTATGTGGGTGTGTGGGTGTGTGCTTTACTAATTTAGGGGCTTGGTTAGGTTAGGCTGGGTTGAATTAGATTGCTTATTTCACCTGTAGGTTGATCACTATAATATTAATCCAACCCAACCCAACCCAACCCAACCCAACCAAAACCCAACCAAACCCAACCCACCCCAACCCACCCCACCGCACCCCAAGCCACCCCAAGATAAAACACAACCGATAAATCACCTACATGAAAGAGAACACCGCATCCTTAACATACGGCAGAGGACCTTCGCACTTAATCTTCTCACAGCGACGCCCTATGAACCCCGTCCTACACCTACAGGTATTGTGAACCTCGCATGTGCCGCCGTTCTCGCAGGGGGGGACACAGGAGTGGACACATTTGAGACTCTCGCCATGTTGGTAGGAGGTCGGGTACTGCCACGTGTTGTCGACGCAGATGAAAGAGAGTTTGGACTCGCCTCGGGAAAATTTGGCGTTCTGGGGACATTCTGCCGTCAGTTGCGTCTTGCTGTAAGGAAGGAGAGAGAGGTATGGATGAGTGTTGAGTGAGAGAGAGAGAGAGAGAGAGAGAGAGAGAGAGGCATTAATGGAAGGGGATAGAGGGGGCGGATCATAGGACGGAGGGAGAGAGACATTGAATTATAAACTCAAACTTAACCCCCGACCCCCCAAAAATGCCTTCAACGAAACTCTGGCGTCACTTATTTGCTTTATGACGTCATTGAACTAAACACCCAATCATCACGGACATGCTCTATGACGTCACTCACCTAAGGCTGATGTACCAATTGAAGAGCTCCTTGGGTATGACGTCACAGCTCACTCCACTACAGTCACTGCCGCCGTAACCTTCCTCACACCTGCAGTAGTCCGGCGCCACACACGTCCCTGAGAGAGGTGAGTGGGAGAGAGGTGAGAGGTGCTTGGGAGAGGGGTGAGAGGTGTGTGGAAGAGGAGTGAGAGAGAGGAGGTACGTGGAAGGGGAGGTATGAGGTAGGAAGAGTGGGATGAATGGATAGAGTGCGTTAGGGAGGGAGGGAGGGAGTGTGCCAAATAATACACAAGAATCGGCGTAACACACACACACACACACACACACTCACCTCTGTTATTACATCTGTGCTGACACTTGGGTCTACAGGCGGGGTCCTGCTCGACCTCAGGCGGCAGAGCCCAGGTTTCATTACGGCAGATAAGGGACACCTCCCTGTCGCCTCCCGAGAACCCGTACCCTTCCGCGCACTTGGCTGTCATCCCTTTCTGGCTAACAGTGCGACAGAAACACAGGTAAGAGTTAGTCTAGTGTAGTTCCCCCTATTACTCATTATAGAGAAAACTGAAATTTATAAGGGTAACCCATGATTTTTGCAGGAATACGTCAACTATAATTTCTTCATAGATGCTTTTTGATTCATAATCTGTTAAAAAGACACATCTATACTATTTATCAATGGCTATAAGGGTAAAAAGTCTCTGTGAGAATAGACTTTAATATTTCATGTCGGTGATTTGAAATGGAAGAAAAAGGGAATTCGTTTTCTATGATTATTATAGGGTTAACTTAAGCTTTTCCTTTGATTACGTGTTCTCTCTCCATGAGCTTATTATCCAAGTTGTTTTACGACTACACAGTTGAGGAAGATATAAGTTGAGAGAGAGAGAGAGAGTAAAACACCACCATTATCTCACCAGAAGCCAACGTAACCATCCTCCACAGTAGGCACTGGTCCTTGACACTGAACCAGCTCACACTCCCTGCCGTAGTAACCCTCAGAACACTCACAGAAATCCGGACCTCGACACACCCCACCATTCCTACAGCTCATGGAACACTGGGGCACACAGCCTTGGTGGAGGAGCGCTGGATGAACCCACACGCCTCCCTCACACTCAAGGAGCACTGAGCATTCTCCAGTCACCAGTAGGTAGCCCGTGAAGCAGTGGACAGAGGCGTCGATGGGGCTAAAAGGAGATGGATTAAAATTGTGAATTTCTAGCCTAAACTACACAGTAAAGCATATTTTAGTGTTTTATTTATCATTTGTATTGTAGAGTCTCAATGTTTATAATAATAATAATAATAATAATAATAATAATAATAATAATAATAATAATAATAATAATAATAATAATAATAATAATAATAATAATAATAATTTCAGAACATAATTCTCACATTAACTTGCACTTCTCATCTAAAAAACTATAACAACAACAACAACAACAATATAAACAATAACAACTACAAAGCCTACAACAACAACAACAACACTCACTTCACCACAGCATTGTCAACTCTGGGTAGCATGTTTTCCGTACAATTAAAATCCAACTTCTTCCTGTCGCACTTAACACCAGTCAAATCAAACCTACATCGGCAGGTATTAGGAGCAACACAGTACATATTTCGTTGTTGGCACTCGTTGGCACAGGTTGGCACACACTCTAGGTGACCTGGCACTCTCTCTGTCTCTCCCTTTAAGGTCCATCGATGTATGTGGCACTTGAACATTGCTTCCGTCCTCCCCGATAAGAGTTGATATCCTGAGTAGCACTTGATGTGGGGTTTGTGCTAGAGGGATGGGGGAGGGTGGAGGAGGGGGTGGAGGAGGAGGTGGATGGAGGAGGAGGTGGATGGAGGAGGGTAGGTGGGTGGAGGGAGGGTGGGTGGGTGGAGGAGGGAGGTGGGTGGAGGAGGGGGAGGTGGGTGGAGGATAGGTTAGTGGGTAAGGTGGAAGAGAGGGAGGAAGAGCGAGGGGAAAAGGGAGAGGGTGGTAGAGAGGGAGGAGAAAAAGGTGGTGGAGAAGGGGTGGATAGGATGGAGGGGGAAGACGGAGTTATGTAGAGAGGGAAAGAGGAGGAGGAGGAGGGTAAATATGATAATTACTATACATTGTAAAAATTCAATAAGTTTAACACCTTTTGAATGATGGTTTAACTTCTCAATAGCTACGGTTTAACCTCTTTCAGGACATTGATTAAAATTCTCTCGTCCTCAAGGCGTTAAACCAGCATCGTTCTTGAGAAATTAAACCATTATTTTAAAGGTGTTTAAAATTAGAATCACTTTCATATGCTATTATGTATTACTCTCTCACTCTCTCTCTCTCTCTCTCTCTCTCTCTCTCTCTCTCTCTCTCTCTCTCTCTCTCTCTCTCTCTCTCTCTCTCTCTCTCTCTCTCTCTCTCTCTCTCTCTCTCTCTCTCTCTCTCTCTCTTCCTAAAGCTCAAGACTGACCGACCATCTGCCCCTTCAAAACAACATCTAACAACAACAAAACGTAGACACTCCTGCCAACACTCACTCCCAGAAGACCTCAGCGAACTCCACTTGAGGAAGAGGAAAGTAGCAATGGTTCTCCAGCTCAAGTTTCACCTCACACTGCTTCCCCGTGTAACCCTTGGGACAGAGACACTCCCCAGGCGCCCAACACTGCCCCCCGTTCCAGCAGGGTATCGGGCATAAGGGGTTACAGGTCTCGTTGCTGCCCTCTGTTCCCCCCACCACCCATTGATGATGTTGAGTGAGGCAAGTCATCTCTAATTCCGTGTGGTTGTTGTTGAAGCCGTAACCCATCATACAGCTTAGGTAGATCTTGGGGAAGCGACTGAAAGATAATTTTTGTTGTTAAATTATTGTCCTCAAAGGGTTAATTGATGTATTATTGTTAAAGGGTTAAATTATCGGTCTCAAAAGGGTTAAATAGAGTAATCGGTGTCAAATTATCATCGTCAAAGGAATAAACTATTAAACTTGTTATTAGTTCTAACCTAACCTAACCTACAATTCCTCACCTTCGATCGACCCAGACGTTCTTGACAACAGGTAACATCTCTGGACACATTCTCTTCTGACAGAACTCCCCTGAGGTACCTGTCAGACACACACACTTCCCCTTGATACACTGGCCTTTGTTCTCACACCCAGAGCCACAGGGAGCCGGTATACAGTGGAGTCTCTGATTGTCTCTTGGTCTTTCATTCATCATTATCCAGTGGCCCTCCGTACACCGCACCTCCACCTTGCCTTTGGTTTGACTGGGCAATGTCCATCCTCTCTCACACTCGACGTATCTCTTGTAGTCGGGAGAAGTCGGTGCCATCCCGCTGTGTGTGTGAGAGTGGGAGAGGTTAGTGTGTGTGGGAGAGTGAGGGAGGTTAGTGTGTGTGTGGGAGAGTGAGGGAGGTTAGTGTGTGTGTGTGTGGGAGAGTGAGGGAGGTTAGTGTGTGTGTGGGAGTGAGGGAGGTTGGTGTGTGTGTGTGTGTGTGGTGAGGAGGTTGGTGTGTGTGTGGAAGTGGGGAGGTTAGTGTGTGTGTGTGTGTGTGAGGTGGGGAGGTTGGTGTGTGTGTGTGTGTGGGAGTGGGAGGTTAGTGTGTGTGGGAGGTGAGGGAGGTTAGTGTGTGTGGGAGAGTGGGGAGGTTGGTGTGTGTGTGGGAGAGTGGGGGAGGTTGGTGTGTGTGTGTGGGAGGTGAGGGGGAGGTTGGTGTGTGTGAGGTGAGGGAGGTTGGTGTGTGTGTGTGAGTGAGGGGAGGTTAGTGTGTGTGTGTGTGTGGAGTGGGGAGGTTGGAGTGTGTGTGTGGGAGAGTGAGGGAGGTTAGTGTGTGTGTGGAGAGGAGGGAGGTTGGTGTGTGTGTGGGAGTAAGGGAGGTTAGTGTGTGTGTGTGGAGAGTGGGGAGGTTAGTGAGTGTGTGGGAGTGGGGAGGTTAATGTGAGTGAGGGAGTTGGTGTGTTGACCGTGTGGGGAGGGTTAGTGTGTGTGTGGGGAGTGGGGGAGGTTAGTGTGTGTGTGTGTGGAGTGAGGGAGGTTAGTGAGTGTGTGGGAGAGTGAGGGAGGTTAGTGAGTGTGTGGGAGGGTAGGGATGGTTTATAGTCTGGGGAGATCAGTGTGTATGTGTGGAGAGGGAGGAGCATAATCTGTGAGGGAATGATTTAAGGGATTAAAGTGTTCTACCGATTTTAGGGCAGAGGTCAGAGATTTAAAGGGAGATTTACTATACACGTTAGAACTTAAGATTAAAATTTAGGACTGATTATTTAAGACCAAAAATCACAAGTTAATTTTCACACCAGGATTTACCATCGGGTCTTGGCACAGGAACACAACACTGAACTTACTTGTCAGAATAGTAGGCATGTTCTATCTTAGGGTATGATTTTGGGCACGTCTTGATCTGGCAGTAGTGGCCTTCATACCCTGTGGGGCACTGGCACTTCTCACCTTCCACACACTTTCCTCCGTTCCTGATGGGATAGAGAGAGGGAGAGAGAGAGAGGGAGCGAGGGAGAGAAACGAGGAGGAGGAGGGGGGAATGTGGCTGGCTGGTTGTCTGACTCACTGGGTGATAGGCTTGTCGGCTGTCTCAATGGCTGACTGGCTTGAGGAAGAAGGGGGAGAGAAGTGGAGGTGGTGGGGGAGTGGAGGGGAGGCGGTGGGGGAGAGCAGGGGAGGCAGTAGGGGAGAGAAGAGTGACTAAAATAAACTATTCCCTAGAAACAGGATCTCCAAATTGGACTTGAAAAGGATATCTACCCTTAAATTAGGGGTTAAAATGAGCAATACCTTCAAATTCAACCTATAAAATAGGACCCAAAGTACACTTAATCCCACAAAAAAGGGAAAATGAACCACATACCTGCAGCTAATTAGGCAGTAAGGTTCACAGGTAAGAGGCAGATGACCCTTCCAATCAGGGTATAACCACTTGCCCTTGATACACGTGACACGTAAGCTCACCCCCAGCCCTCGTCCTGGTAACACGTAGTTGTCAGGACACGTCAACCCGTACACGTTCTCGCTGAGGGTACGTCATCGGGGGGAGGGAGAGAAGGATGGTTTTGATATGAGAGAGAGAGAGAGAATCATCACACACCACATGTTAAACATGTAAACCACATAATAATCAGTACTAATTACAGGTAAACACATTAACCCTCCCTCAGCTAACCTCCAGGCACTTAAGTTCATTCCTTTAGGAGTAATGGGTCGCCCTGTGCACTCACTCCCTGCCAGCCTCTCGCAGAAGGTGCCACGGGTGGTTGAAGGGCACTTGCACTTGTTTGGGGCCACACAGACCCCTTCATTACGGCAGGATGGGAAGCAGATGGGATGACAGGTGATGGGGTGGCCGTCTTGATCAGTGGGCAGAGTCCAGTTGTTGCCGATACAAGGAACCAAGAATTCTGACGCCCCTGGGGAGACCTCGTACCCAGAGATGCAGATCCCTAGTGCCCCTCCGATGGACCTGTGGGGATAGAAGAAGGGATGTTGTTGTTTGTCTATCCATCTGTTCATCTATTTGGTGAACAAGGATAGTGGAGGTGTTGTTGTATCCATCTATTCTTCTGTCCATCAGTCTATCCATCAATCTATACTACCCCCCCATCTCTCATCATCCCCTTCCTCTACAAATCCCTAATGATCTCTCTCCTGTCTTGCACTCTATCCATCTCTCCTTCATCCTATCCTACTCTATCCCCTATTCCCTCATTTCCCCTTCTTTTTTTTCTCCCACTACCCTGTATCCATCTCATCCTTCTCTCCATCACCCTTTTCCCCCTCTTTCCCTCATCCTTTCCCCTTCTCTCCATCCAAATCCACTATCCCCACCTTACCTTATCCACTACCCCCACTTTACCCTATCCAGTATCCCCCTCCCCCTACCTTACCCTATCCACCACATCGATAGTACCCACCCTGGTATAATCTGGTCTGCATTTTCCACAACCAGATCGACCTCCTTCGGGCAATTGATCCTCGGGGCACAAGAGGAATTACCACATTGACACACATCCGGAGCGACACAGGTACCATTATCAGGACAGGGAGGCGAGCACTTCGGCAGGCAGGTCTTGTAAACACCGTCCTCAGGTAACCACTTATGCCTTGTACAGATTAACGTGGCGTTGTCGGGGGGCGTGAGCTCGTAGCCTTGATTACAGGTGATGGTTGCTCTCTTGGGATCATTCTCGCTACAAGGGAGAGAGAGAGTGAGTGTGAGAAAGGAACGTGAGAGAGAGGAGTCAGTGTGAGAAAGGAACGTGTGAGTGTGTGCGTGAAAGAGAGAGAGAGAGAGAGAGGTAAGGTTATCTCTCTTGGGGGTTCTTTGAATTAGTGGAGAGATAAAGAAGTGAGATAGAGAGATTAAAAAAAAGAGACACGGAGAAAGATATATAGTCAGACAGGCACATAGGCAAATACAAGAAAATAATTACTATGCTACTTAGAATTTCAAACCTCTATATTAAACGCATTGGCAGTAAAGAAAGTAAAATAATCATGAATTTCAAACCCAAGAGGAGACTTAACACAGGTAACTCTCCCACGGTCATTACCCTACCTGACAGTAGCGACGCCGTGGCTGAACTTCGGGGTGAACGCAGGACACTCTGGAAGGACAAGAACATGGTGAAGAGCATGTACAAATAAGAACGTGATGAACTTACAAGAAGATTTATCAATATCCTGAAATTTACAAACTACTGGTGAAAAATATTGATTCATTTACAAAATACGGAAGAGATACTAATATTTACACTATGATAAATAGATAATATAACAACTAACAAGATAAAGAACAAATGTGGAAGAATAAGAGAGAAAAATAAACAAAAATGGTAGAGAAATACACTAAAGAACAAGACACTAAAACAGAGAGGGATACTCACCCTATGGGACGCCTTCAACCCCAGAAACTGGTGGAAACTTCTTCTCTTTGATGGATAAGGTCTTCAGGGGGTTAAATTCCTCATCTTGCCATCAGAGTAATTTTAGGGTTCTTCAATGGTATTAAATTTAGGTCTTCGTGGATACAGTCTTATGGGGAAGGAAGGTCTTTCAGTAGTGCCAATTAGAATCGTTTCCATAATAAAATTGTGTTCGATTTTGAGAGAGAGAGTAAAAGCGATAAATTTTACATTCTTCTATTTTACCAAGCTCAAGTTCCTTCACCCGTGAGTTAAGAACATTTCCCCTTTTCTAAAATCAGAAAACATGACACAAATAAATCCTTTGATCAGGTACGACGGCGACACCAAAAAATATTCGTAGTTTGACTTTATAATTTGTTCTTGACACCGAGGTAATTTGTAACGAACGAAAACGTAAAATTGAGTGGAAAAAAATACGAAAACCAAATTAGTTTTTTCTTCAGTATCTTACCAACTTTGAGATCGAATATATGTTTATGTGTAAGATCAAAAAGGTTATATTATAGGTGTGTATTGAACAGTAAACTGCCGAGGACGTATGGAAAAAAGCATAACAAATTACCTTTGAGTTCTTTTGCACGACGTTTTTTGATAATATGCTCAGTTCTGGGCCCTTCATCAGTTGGTCTGTCTTTGGTGATGTCGTCAATATGCTCCATCCAGGGCCCATTGTTTACATCATCTGCCACATCAACTCTAGGGAAAAAAAATTAAATAAGACATAAGGGTGATAATTATATTTGGGTGCCTGTTATCTCTCTCTCTCTCTCCCACCTAATTTTCTCCCCCCCCTCTCCCCCCCTCTCTCCCCCACTCACCCTCTAGCAGCAACAGCAAGAAGGGGGAAGATAGTCATCATTATCACCATCATCATCATCATCATCACCATCGTCATCATCATTGGCTGGGAGCACCAGGATGATGCCATGGTAACGTGCGGCTTCTCACCTGTAGCACTCCAATACCTGTCCTGGGAGACCAACACCTGTATGCGAGATCTCTAACACCTGTATGTGATCTCTCTCTCTCTCTCTCTCTCTCTCCTCATCTGTCGATCAGCCCTCCACGCTCTATTGTTCCCTCCACTCTTACCTCTCTCCCTTGACCCTCCTTCTCCCTACCCTTCTCTCTCTCTTCACTCCTCCCCTTGCCCCCACCTCTACCCTTTACATCACCCCCCCCCAACTCTTCCCGTTCCTCCCATTCTACCCTCCCGCCTCCTCAACCTCTCCCACTCATCTCTTTCCCCCACTCGTCCCCCACTCATCCTCTCCCTCTCTCCACCATGACGGCATCAATTATAAACACTACCTCGTTACCTAGCTCTCATTGTTTACATTTCAACTCGTCAACACGTCAAGAGTCGCCCGCCTCACCTACACCACCTGAGAGCTGTAATGAGCCGTACCTCAGGCTTCATCCTAAACTATACATACGATTAAATTTGTTTCCTTAACTTACGACAAAATATTGGATTCTCAAAGGTTCGATAGTCCAGTTTTTCCCTTAATTTGTGGATGTGAGAATAGTTATAAATACACTATTAACGTCTCCTTTACACACACACACACACACACACTAATAACGTCTCCTTTACACACATACATACACACACTATTTAACGTCTCCTATACACACACATACACATACTAACGTCTACAGTACATACACAACTCCATACACCTAAGCGTAAATCCTTTGTTAGTTTACATATCCGGGTAAAGTCGACTTAACTCCAACGTTCGTGTAACATCATATCGAAAACTAACCGATCAAAACCTATTGCCCCTCGTTCGTGTAGCAATGAATCCGACTTCAAGATGTCTTTGTAAAGTATAATATTGTTTGGTTATGTTATTTTTACCGATTTTAATGGGAAAGAAATATGTGATTGAGACATTACAGGCGGTGTAAATATTTTTGTATACGGAATGACTTGGTCGTTAGAGAAACGCTTTGGTATGGCGGGAAATTAATTGGGAAAAAATATTAAACATTCTGATAACAAAGATATCAAACATGTAAACAACCGCCACACAACGACATCATTCTATTGATTATGCGCCTTTGTTTTTGTTTCTTGTTTTTTCTTTGTGATTATATATTTTAAGTTTACGATAGAATGGTTTATTATTATTATTTAACCCTCCCCCTTCACCACCTTACCTCCCCCTCCCTCCCTCCCCTTCAACCTCTTCCCCCTGACCCCCCCCCCACCTACACAATTATACCTTGAGGTCTTTGTTTACATATTTCGCCGTTCCGGACCTTATTGTTTACATCTTCCGTTTTCTTTGTACTGGGATCGTCTAAACTCCTGTACAACCAACACACATATTTCACTGTTGCATGTATGAACGTTGAGATCATACTGTTGCATGTATTCGGAATATGTATAGCCCTTTAATGTTTGCATGAATACTGTATAGATTTTTAGTGTTGCATGTCTATGTATAATTCTTCAATGTTGCATAATGTTTTACTCAAATATTAAACCTCATGTATATAACATTCCTTGCAACGAGCGTATATCTTGCAAGCTTGCATATACTCTGAACTAGATAATCATATATAGATCTGCAACATTACGTCATATTAACTTAACTATTAAAACTCCAGTATAAAAAAAAATCCCATAACATAAATTATCTTATTAATTCACAAACACACAGAGAAATAATAACATTCATTTCTACTCCAGTTAAAGTCCTTATTTAACTCTGTTAGTTGGTCTTGGTGCTTAAGAAAACATAATACCCGATACTGCACTCGACAGTTTCAATTTCCTCAACTGTAAAGGCAGGAGCCCATTACCAACTGGCTGAATTTAAGGGGTGGACCTGTGCTCGAACCATAGACCCCCAAGACAAGAGACGAGACCTGTATCTACACGGCCAACGCATCCTTAGTATAGTCCCTCGCACTATCACCACAAGATTCAAATTTAAAACACAAGTCACAACAAATTACCTTAATCACACTCAGGTAAGACCAAAATACCTACTAATTAAAGGTATTTAATCCAATTCCACTAAAATAATCCTTAAGTATATCTCATTAAGGTAAGCATCCCAAATATAATAATTAATTATCTAAGGTAATATTAATTGTTACTTAAAAAATCTGATAAAAAGTATAAAAAAAAGAGTAGATTCTTTGAATGTTATTAAATGAACAACTAAAGAATTATGACTTACCTCCCGTGCCTTAAGTGTTGGCAGAGACAGACAGACAGAGAGAGACAAGCAGAAAGATAGACAGACAGGCAGAGAAATAGACAGGAAGACACAGACAGACAGACAGAGAAACAGACAGGAAGACACAGGAAGACACAGACAGACAGGAAGACACAGACAGACAGACAGGTACGTTAAGATACCTATGTCACACCGTCAACAGCTGAAGACTGACTGAGTGAACGATTAGGTGTGACTGTGTGGGAGAGAGGGAGGGGGTGGAGGTGGGGAGAGAGAGAGAGTGTGTAGGAGGAGGGAGGAGGTAGGAGGAAAAGAGGGAGAGTGTAGAGGGAGGGAGGGACGGAGGGTGGGTGGGTGTAGGAAGGATTTTTCTGGTAACAGTGTAAGTTGTAGCGCGTCTAGGAGATGGTAACAATGTCGCTGACTAAGTTTGTATATATATGTGAAGGTCTTAGTGGGGGGGAGGAGGGGGGGAGGGGGGAGGAGGGAGGGAGGAGGGAGGGAGGGGGAGGGGAGGGAGGGAGGGAAATGGAGAGAAGGAAGGTAGTGGAGGAAAAAAAGAAAGGAGGGAGGAAGGGAGGGAAGATAGTGGAGTAAGAAAAGGAGGGAAGAAAGGAGAGAGGAAGAAAGAGAAGGAAAGAGAGATAGAAGAACTTAAAGTACACAATAAATAAACAAATCAAGTGAACAACAAATAATAAACAAACACAAACCGGATTGAGGGAAAGAATGAAGGAAGGAAGGACAACCAGAAGGAATGAAGGAAGGCATAATGAAGGAAGGAATGAGGTAAGGAAAGACACAAGGAAAGATGGAAGGAAGTAAAGACGGACACAATGGAGGAAGGAAGGAATGTAGGAAGGATGGAAGGAAGGAAAGAGGCAGAAACGGACACGATGAAGGAAGGAAGACTATAATATTGTCATAACTCTCCCAGAGGCTGACAGTACTAGGTATTATTATGCTACACAGAGTTAGAGGCGACAGGTGGGGAAATACTGCTTATGTCATTGTTTTTATTGTGTCGTAACGTATACACAACCTGGAAATAATGATGATGATGTTATAGATGGAATGTTGCGTGTGTGTGTGTGTGTGTGTGTGTGTGTGTGTGTGTGTGTGCGTCAGGTATAATTTTGTCGTGTTGTGGTGGTGTAAGTTTAATGAACTATATACACAGGAAGATCTATGCAATATATAAAACGCAATAAATATAAAAAAAATAAAATAAAATTATAGATAAGTTTAAAGGTAAATATATAAAAATATATCAATGAAGATGAATATTTATAACCTACTAATAAAAACTATCTCATAATATGACTTAAAATAATAGAATAACGGTATAGAATAAAGTTATTTTAGTTAGTGTTAAAAATATATTCGTTTTCTTCTTTTTCCTTTAAAGAAAAGTATACGTCATTTGACCAACTATTATAAAAGGCATCAACTGTTGTCAACACTTATCATACATACTTTTGATGCTAATAATGACAATAAAATGAAATAAAATATATGTAGAAAAATAAGAATAATTATTTTTCTTCATACATTATTTCTATTATCATAATAATCAGAATTTTACTTTTATTATTATTATTATTATTATTATTATTATTATTATTATTATTATTATTATTATTATTATTATTATTTTCAAGTTTTTATTAAATTAGTAATTATTATTGTCATATGTCTTAATTTTTTCCCTCTACAGTTTTATATAAAAAATCCCTATGAGGTAAACTGAATGGCGCTAATGCAATCATGCTCTGTATGTGTACCTTTGTATTGTATAAATGTTTATAAAATATTACATGCGGGTTATTTAATGGTGATGTCATGCACCACCAACACGACGGGACATCTTAGACCAGGGAGGAGGAGACATCTTAGGGTAGGGAGCAGGAGACATCTTAGGGTAGGGTGGAGACATCTTAGACCAGGGAGGAGGAGACATCTTAGGTTAGGGAGCAGGAGACATCTTAGACCAGGGAGGAGGAGACATTTTAGGGTAGGGTGGAGACATCTTAGACCAGGGAGGTGACGGTGAGATCAACCCGCATCCCTCAGTATAGATTTAGTGATGAGGAAAATGAACCAATATTTGAGATCTAAACAACAGACCAGTGCAGTATTATGGCGTGTGTGTGTGGGTGTGGGTGTGTGTGTGGGTGTGTGTGTGGATCTCGCTAACACGAACAGGTTACAGCGTCCACCTTGAGTGCTTTGTGTCTGTCTGTCTGTCTATGGAATTCTTTTTGTCTATATTTGTCTGTCTAGGGAGATGTTTCTTTCTGTATCTGTCTATGTAATATATTTTGTCTGTGTCTGTCTATATAGAAAAATAGATGTTGCTGTCTGTTCATCCGTCCACCCGTCTCTAAGTAGTTATTTATTATTTGTCTGTCTGTCTTGTCCTAGGTTTCTGTCTGTTTGATTTTCTATCTGCCAGGCGCGAGTTTTGTCTGTCTGTATCTTGCGAGCTTCTGTCTCTATCTGTCTTGCGCGAGTTTTCGGTCTGTTTATGTCTAATGGAGTTTCTGTCTGTCTGTCTATCTATCTATCTTGAGCGAGTTTTCCGTCTGTGTGTCTAGTGCGAGTTTCTGTCTGCCTGTCTGTCTAGTGCGAGTTTTCTCTGTCTGTGTCTCGAGGTAAACGTCTGAGAGAATGAATGGCACATCTCTCACTGTCTGGGAGAGAGAGAGAGGGAGAGAGAGAGAGAGAGAGAGAGAGAACATCCTATCCCTTCCTATCACCCCGTTAACAGGTAACAAGTCATTAGTAATTAACTCTTTGTCACCTAATTAGACGACAAACACCCTCTGACTAATTAATATATTATTAAAACTATTTTTATTAGGCTGTAATATCGTAATAGAAGAGATAGAAAAAGAGTTGATTGCAGTTGATCAGGTAATACGTGTGTTAAATATATTTCATTGCAAGATTTCATTATTTTTTTCTGATAAGGTGAGATTATTCAGGTGTGTGTGTGTGTGTGTGTGTGTGTAAGCGACACATCTAACGAGAGGAAAATCACCCAATTGAGCGAAATATTTGGAGAAAGCCTTGAGACGTTCTTTATACACCAACCAATTACCTACACAAAGGAAGATTAAAACGAGAAAATATGAAACGATACAAAAAAAATATAAATATATAAAAAAAAATCGAATTTCTGTCACAGTTGATTACACATCAAAACTGAACGCTGATGGGAATTAGATTTTTTTTTAAATAATACTTTAGTCGGGTGATTCAAGTTTACCTGTGTAAAGGGAAGCTAATACGGGCCTTTGAATAGTTGATGATATATTAAATTGGGTCATGTAAGGTTGGTGTGTGTGTGTGTGTGTGTGTGTGTGTGTCGGCACTCGTAACAACATCACTCCTCCCGATTTCGTCAGACTTTGATACCGGGAAAAACATTACATTTATTTATTTATATTTAACTCAATAACACCGAGTCATCAGTATTTCCTCCCTTTCACAACACTTCTCTACTTCCTCTCTCCTATCCCACCTCTTTCCCATCCTTTCCTTATCCACACCATCCCCACCCGCCCCAACCTTGTTTTCACCTTCCCGCCAACCCGTCCCTCCATCTCCCCCATCCTATCAGACAATCCTTCCCTCCCTCTCCCACAATCCCTCCCGACTTTCCCATCACTGACAGTCGGGTCTTATTAGAAATGTTCATCGGTGTTCTTGACAGTCAAATCAGCGGTCAAATATCTGAGTTTCCGCCAGAATAAGAAGCCGAGGTATTGATGCTGGATTATTTTTCTGCGAAATCTATTATGCTCTCTCTCTCTCTCTCTCTCTCCCTCAAGAGAGCAAAAACACCAACAAAAGACTCAACGTCGAGTAACTTCTGGCGAGCCTCGTGAATAAGCAATGTTGAGAGAGAGAGAGAGAGAATGGGAAGACTAAGGAGGGTGAGAAAGAGTGTGGGAGTAAAACCGATGGAGAGAGAGAGAGAGAATTAACCCTTTAAGGAATATGGTTTAACCCTTTCAAGAGTAGGTTTACGTCTTTAGAGGACGATGGTTTAACTTTTACAGATGATGGTGTGTTTAAACCGACAAACACTCTATTAAATAAACCAACACTCGGTCATATTTTACGCGCTAACGTTCAGTTGTGTTTATCTTCTGTCAGCTGATTGTGACTTCACTTTCCCGTGTGTTTAGTGATAAGCTCAGGTTAACATGCATGAAGGCGTTATATCTTGATGTGTTTACGTCCTGTCAGCTGATTGTGTGACGTCACTTTTATTGTGAATCATTGGTGGGTGAGGTGTGGGACGTCATTATCCCCGCGAGTCATTCAATGGTGGATGAAATGTGCGACGTCACTACCTCCTCGAGTCGTTCATTGGTGGGTTGTGTGACGTCACTATATCCGCGAGTTATTCATTGGTGGGTGGTGTGTGTGTGACGCCATGACAGTAGAGAGAAAAGGTTAATATTTTATAAATTAATGATAAATTTGGAGGATATAAATAGATTCTGACTTTCTATGGTGCCAAAATGACTTATTAGTTAAGCACGGAGTCGTCCAGAACACAACGAGTACCTCCATCATCGCCAGCACGAGCGACGAATAACGCCCGATGGTGCTCGTAACCCCTAAATGGCAGGTTAATGGAATATATGGTAGACGAACGTTCGCCAGCCTTCTCCCAACAAAAGGGGCTTTGTGCTGCCTTCCTTGGCGTTATTATCCAATATGGAGGAATGTTATTGTGAGGTAGATTCAACATAGGTCCTTTTATTTACCAATCAAAAGTATTAATTTCTCTTCTATATAAGACGGAACTAAAAATAATGTAAAAAAGTGGCAATTTTTCTTCTGTATAACACGGAGCTAAACAAACCACCAAACTCTCTTAAAAGGATAAAATTCACAATATTGGAACTTAGGCTGATGATGTAGCCTATATTCGTATAAATGTAAATAAATCATATTATTTTATGATTGTCTTAATATTATCTATGTCCAGGAGAAGTAAATCAATACTTTAGTGAGATTCATTTATGGTCTATGATTAATTACAACAATAATAACAACAATAATAACAATGACAATAATATTAATAATAATAATAATTATTATTGTTGTAATACATATTATGATGATACAATTATTACTAAAAAAAACTCCTTGATAATACTAATAATGGTACTACTACTACTACCATCTCCCCCAATAACCACACCTAAATCTATGCAGCTTTCAGTGACTGTTGCCTCAAAGTCAATGTCTACGACCGTTGTGGGATTTGCGGGCCGAAGATCCCGTTCCCGAGGAAGAGCAATGCAGAGTTAAGTAGAGAGAAGGACAGTCGACATCTCATCCAGGCTGTAACATAACTTCTGGACTGCTGCTTCCGTTCAGATAGCACCTCCGCAAGTCTGGCATAGAAGCATCTTGCACTTGGTCCCATTCCACCAGAGGTTGTGAACACCAGAGGATTGAAGCTGCCCTCATCAACACTCTGAACTCTCTCTGTTCTTGTCATTCTTGTTCCTCCTGTGTGCATCATCGAGAGTTAAGTTATGGTGACATGCGGCCATAGGGTCGAAAATCCTTATCAAAAAAGGCTCGCTGTCCCCACGTCCAGAATCCTCGAACACTGACGTCCACAAGGGCTTCGTTGGATGTGTTTGAAGTCCTGTGGCGGAGGTTCTCACCGTGGCGGAGGTTCTTTTCTAGAGTTCACATATATCAAAGAAAAACAAAAAAAATTCAGGCAAAAATAATCTGCATATTGTCTCAGTTCACATCCTGTTCATTATAACATTGTTTTGATCTTATGAGGAGTGACAGTTTAATCGATAACAGTCTTAACAGGTGACAGTCTATTAGGTGTAAAGTTTTCTTATTTTCCTCCACTCTGACTGGCAGTAATAAAACAGTCACTATCATCCCTTAATCAATACTAACAGGAACCAGATGGTGTATGGAAGCCCGACAGATGGGGCAGATGGCTAGGGTAGCTGCGCAGGTGGTACAGGTCACCAGGTGGGCACAAGGCAGAAAGGTCACCCCGAGGTCAGCATCGAGACATACGACACATCGCTGCCTCACCTTCACCTCCTCCAGGTGTTGTATGAGACGGATCTTCTCTTCCTGTAGCTGACGAAGGAGTTGGTTTAATTCACCTCCTCCTTCCCCCTCCTTCACTACCATTCCTTCCTGTTGTTGGTTGTTCCTACACATCTGTTGTTGTTGTGGGTGATACAGCTGTTGTTGTTGTTGTGGGTGATACAGCTGTTGTTGTTGTGGTTGATACAGCTGTTGTTGTTGTTGTGGGTGATG